AGTCCAGAGTGAAGGCAGTATGACCGCTGACCTTGTTGGCCTTTGAGGGTGGAGGAATTGGAGACACAGAATGTAGGTGGCCTCTAAGAACTGGAAAAAATGAGGAAATGAATTCTTCCCTAGAGCCTCCGGAAGAAATACAACCCTGCCAGTGCCCTGATTTTAGTCCAGCACGTCCCATTTCAGACTTGTAATCTCCACAAGTATAAGATAGTAAATTTGTGCTGTTTTTCGGTCACTAAATTTATGGCAGGGCAGCTATAGGAAACTAATGCATACCTGTATACTAATAAAAAAGACAAGTAACATAATTTTAAAATGGTCAACTTCATAGAATTAAGCCTAGATGTCCAATAAATATGGTTAAAAATACTGACCACCACTAGTAATCCAAAATCAGATTGAAATGAGATCTATTTTGCCTATTATTTAGCAAAAATTTTCATAGATACCCATCCAGTGTTCTCAAGGATCTAAGAAAAGAGTGTCTTCTACATTGTTGGTGACAGTCTAAATTGGAAAGACTTTTTAGAAGGAAATGTGACCGAGTCGATCAAAATTAAACCTTATTTCCTTATGTATATCTATATACAGCTTGAATCTTCACAGTGAGTATCTTCCCACATCACTCGTGAAACTTTCTTTCAGTACATAGAAAGCAACAGAGCCCAAGGGCAATACAAGAAAAAAATGCAATACAAATGCAAAACAGAAGGTAACCGGGGTGGGGTGGCGGGACACACATGCTGCCTGCGGAGTTTTAGGACAGGAGTGACAGCACCATTAGCTAGAGTTTGTGATTTTCTCTCCTTGTCACACAGCCTTTCTGTCCACATCCCCTCTTACATCTACTGCCAACATTCTGTTTTTTGCATCTGTCTGTGAAAGTATCCCATCCCCCAGCCCTGGTCGTCTAAGATGTCTTGCTAAAAGCTCAGTCTGCTAGCTTTGTCTGCACTCTTTGCAGCTGCTGCCTAGATTGAGGACTAATGATGAAAGAAATGTTTTCAGTGGACACATGTTCCCGTAACAGTCATCCTTACGTCTTTGTACACCTTCTAACAAAATCTGAACTCCTACTTCTTGTAGTGAGCATTTTGTAATGTATGTAATTGTCAAATCACTGTTGTAATACTCAAAATTGATATGTCAACAATACTTCAAGTGAAAATGAAAATATATAAGTAAAGTTCTGAATCTCGAAAGTAAACTCAATGAGCCGCTCAAACCAAATGCTTGGACGTGGGAAGGTGGGGAGGCCGGGCTTGGAGGTGGCAGATGATACTACTGGAGATACCAAATTTTAAGCTTTTGAAGATTGTCTCAGAGGTCGCCTTCATTGCTCCCTTCTCCGTTGTTGCGTGGCTGTTTCCCCAGGATGTTCCCCTGAACTGCTCCCAGCAGTGACCTCCCAGTGAAAATCATGGGTTCTTTCTGGCTGGAATACATAGGCGGAGGGCAGCTGTCTAGTTAGATGTGAACGTGTCTAGTCATTGTAGACTGTTGTCCAAGAAGGGATTATGGCCTCATGGACCAAAACCCCCTCATTCTAGAGACAAGAAATGAATGTCTGGGAAGAAGAGCGCCTTGGCATGTTGCTGTTAGTGGGGAAGCCAGGACAGAAATCCTCTCTCCTGATTGGGGGTCCCGGATCTTTTCTCAACATTGGCCTGCCTGCCTGCCTTCTCCATGCATCTTGGGTGGAATCCGATGCTTTCCTGAGCTTTCCTTTAGGAACTTTGTTACACATTGTCAGTTTAAACATACTCTTAAAGGTTTAAGTGTTGGGCAAAATTTCCATATTGGGGACTGAGATCAGGTCCCTAATTAGCAGGCATGTTCTATGAGCTGTGGCAGGGTCATCTGCCAGATGGGCTCTGTCATTAAGGGGTCTATAAATTGCTGAGTTGAATAACTGACCATTGAGTAACTTAGTTGGGGACTCGGCAGCAGATCCTGTCATGGGTTTGCAATGTGTCTGTTCAGCTTAGGCTGAGCTTCGTTTTTCCAGAATTCCCTCGTATGTTTCTGGTTGGGGTGGGCCCCAGATGAGATTGTTGTTGGAGATTTGGAGGGCAGATGGGAAGTAGCAGCCCTTTTTATAACCCACACGTTGTCCTTTTGAGCCAGCTCACTCTGTTGGCAAGAAGCAACGGCAGGACTTGTGACTTTTGCACCCTCTGCAGGATCCTGCTTCAGCTTCTCTAACACCTGGGTCTCACCTGGTGTATTTAGCTCCATGGTGAACGGCCCAGCTTCTGCAGGACACCTACACCCCCAGTGCCAGAGGCAACATGAATAGGCATGGTTTTAGTCTCTACTCGCGGCTTTAGCTCCTTGCCTGTGGTTCTAGCTTGTGTATCCATCCTTCCTGTGTATCCATCCTTCCCTGACTTCTGTCAGCCCTACAGACTTCAAACTCCAGCATCAGGGCAAAGATGGCCTTTAGAGACTGCTTTAAAAGCTCCTGCAATTACTTAAGTCAAATTTCTGTAAATTATATGTATTTTGTACACACTCTAGTGGTTCTGCATCTCTGGTTGAACTGTGACTGCCACCCACGTGTCCCCCAGAAGCCAGTTTGATTCACCTTTACTTAGCAGCTTGGGCAAAGTTTCTGTTGGGCAGTACAACTTTGGCTGTCCTTTAGAATCCTCAGCTTTCAGAATCCTTCCGTACCCTCAAGAATATAAGTAAATGAAAAACCCAACCCTCTTTGATGAAGCATCATTTGACCCCCAGCAACAACAAAATAAACCTGAGCATTGACAAGGGAGAGGGCAGCTCCATCCAGTAGGAGTCGGAAGAAAACTGAAAGAACAAGGACAGAGAACAAGGTAGAAATGAACTTGAGTAATGGCAGTGGCCACAGCAAGAAGCCAAGACCTGTTGTGGGCATAGATCCTGAATGGAAGAGAAAAGTTATAACTCCTTTGGAGTTTTGGGAACAAAAGAGTTTGTCATAGGCAACCTCGTGGTGTCCCTGTGACACCCACAAGATACCTGGGTTTCTGCTGGACACTTAGAGGTACCTGTCTACACCACACACACTGCAGGCAGGGTTAGAGTTTGGGAAAAAAACCCCTTGTCCTGGCTGCCCTGGGTACCAGTGATCCAGAGTGTATTTAGATATTTAAAAGAAAAAAAAAAAATCATTAGAGATGTTCTTTCAAGGAATATTGATTTATCACCTCAACAGCTTACAAGTGACTTTCAGTCCAATTATAAAGGATATAGTTTAAGGTTCCGGATGCTTAGAATTCTATTAGAAGCTAAATACAAAGGAGGGATTGGAAGAAACCATCTGAAGAGGGATCTTCATAGTCTCCTTTGACCTTTTTTGTTTTTATTTGTTTTTGAGAGAGAGGCAGAGCATGACCAGAGGAGGGGCAGAGAGAGGGAGACACAGAATCTGAAGCAGGCTCCAGGCTCAGCACAGAGCTTGACGAGGGGCTTGAACTCACGAACTGTGAGATCATGATCTGACCCGAATTTGGCCATTTAAGCAACTGAGCCCCTCTATTGATCTTTACCTTGGAATAAGCCCTCAAGAAGAAAATGTGACTAGTAAAGAATGAAAACCGGCCTGCTAGAAAGTACCTCTGGCTTGTGAAGGTTAGATGCTACAAGTCAAGGGAGCAGTCAGGCACTAACATAGAAAGTGGGGGAGCTATTCCAAAGGAGACTGCTTCTACTTCACACTCACTAGTTGGTTGTGCCATTAGACCTGTGGCTTTGCCCAGGAGGTCACCGTGTCTTACTAATGGGTGAGAGACCTAAAAGCAAGCTATCATCTTGGACTTGGAAAGTAAACCATTTTCCTAGGGTCCTATGACCCCTGCATTTTCCATCTTTATGATCCATCATAGACCATGGTATTCATGATCGTGGCCCTTGAGCATCAAAGTATAGTTTCTTGTTCTCAGTATGGTCCATTAAAGAAGGTAGGGATGTCTGTCCATATACTTTGTTAGCTTAATTGTTTTAACGGTTTTCTTAGCTCTGATTTCCGTAGTCCTTCTCTGTTTCCATAGGACCTTCAACAGAGATGACACTTTTCACCTTACTTGGTAACTGTTTCTCTTTGACTCTCTGATTTCCTATTATGGCTTGCTTTAGAAGAATACTTGATGCCCCAGTGAATGAATCTTGAAATAATTCTGTTTTCCATGAAGTCAGACTCTAAGGGTCTGAATAGCTGAGAATATTCCATATTCTTAAAGTAGAATTTGGGTGAGGCTTGTTGAGGAAGAACCCGTTGATGATGGGTTTACAGTGAGTGGTAAGTGAGAGTCCTCGGCCTGGTTTGGTGCAGGAGAGCATGTTTCTAGGGAAGATGCTGCAGAGCTTAGGTCTGTTCCGAGCATCCTGATGGCATCTTGGCACCTTCTCTCTGGTCACTTCCAAGGCTCACTTCCGCTGCATCCTGTGATTTTAGGCATACCCACCACTCTCTGCCCGTATAAAACATGATTCTGAACACACCATTACTATGTGGATACAGATGCCAATCAGGTACCCTCAGTTGTTTTCTTTAGATTGAAAGTAGAAATGAGCACTTCCTGCCCCAAACTAAAGGCAGAAAAAAGGAGTGTGAAGCGTAAGATGTTATGTAAGATTATATTGACGTGATTTTTTCTTACATGCTACTTTGTTATGTAACACAGTCAGGCACCCTGGCTACACCAGAGTCATGGAAAGAAAGGCCTTTGGACAGGGGGAAAAAATAATCTAAGAAAGGCTGATCATTTTAATAGCTGTCCTCGGGGGAAAATGCAGATGAGGATGAAGCTATCCCAAATTGATTAGATACATCTTGGGGATTATAGCACGGCAGGATTTAACATTCCATTTCTAAAAAAACGCATTATTCTGCCAAACACTGAGTGAATGTGATTGCAGCTATCTGTGTTTTTGACCAGGGTCTTGCAGCTGCGAAAGTTTGACCTGCACTGAAATACCTCATCGAGTCAGCCCTTTCTGTGTCTTTGTCCCTGCAGCGCGAATCTGTCCAAGGCCGCCTGGGGAGCATTAGAGAAGAATGGTGCCCAGCTGATGATCCGTTCCTATGAGCTTGGGGTCCTTTTCTTGCCATCAGCATTTGTAAGTTCACGCTTGAAACTGCCTGAGTGGTCGCATGTGGAACAGGTCGGGTGTGTATGTTCTCTTCCTTTGGTCCCGGTGACCTGAGGCCGGGGTTCTAGCCTAAGCCTGTGCTGACACATACGTTTAGCATTCACTATTCTGGGTGCAGCAAGATTGCTGCTCTGCGGAGTGTACCTGGTGAGAGACTGAGGGTAATTGGTTTGGGTAAAAGTTAATCACCGTATGTATGTGTGTATGTATTTATTTTATTTTTAAACTTTTTAAAAATGTTTGTTATTGAGAGGCCGAGAGACACACAGCATGAGCAGGGGAGGGGTAGAGAAAGGGGAAGGCACAGAATCCGAAGCAGGCTCCAGGCTCTGAGCTGTCAGCACAGAGCCCGACGTGGGGCTCGAATTCACAAACTGTGAGATCATGACCTGAGCCGAAATCGGTCGCCTAACCAACTGAGCCATCCAGGCGCCCCAGTTAATCACAATATTTAAATATTGCGAACCATAACGTGAAGATGTGTTACAAGGCGGTAGTGACAGGTCACCAAAGGGATGACTCAGCCAAGAACAAGACGTTCCTTTGGAGGAGGTCTTTGGAAGCTGGAAGGCTTGAGGAAGGTTGACGGATACTTAGGGAGAGGAGCAGGCAGGGTATCCCAGGTTAGGGGAGTGTCAAGAGCCCGAGTCGGGAGGCTAGGAGGCTCACAACAGCTACTCGAGTAGGAATTCAGGGGGTCACAGGACCTGTGCAATCAGACTAACTGGTAAGCCCCCCTGAAACACACCGTGTTGGAAGCTGTGACTCTCTCAAGGTGTCCAGCACAGCCAGCTTATCTCCCAGCCTGGAACAGCTCTGTTTCTGCAGCTGAACACCAGACAGGTGGCTGGTTTTCACGTCAGAACTGGTCGCACGGGCCCTGATTTCTAAATATTAAAATCACCTTTGGCCCAGAGAGACCTTCTCACTGTAAGGGGCATACAGACCCCAAGACCACCGTCTCACCCCTCACATACTTGGTGGAATGCAGTCGGAACTGCCCACATGACAAGATGGCCAATGCTTGTTTTCTTTTCTCGCCACCTGCTATACTTGAGCTTACGATGAACATACATATGATGCAGCGCCATCGTAAACCACGTGACTAGACCAGAAGATTCAGTGAAGGAGCACTGCCTGCTTGTTCTCAGGCTTCAATCCAGATCTATGTGACACGGCATGCCAGAGAACAAGCATCCCCACTCCACCCTGCCCAAGTGTCCTCACTGTCCCCTCCCCGCTGTAGTGAAGTTCTTTTCTCCCTCTTTCCTCCTTCGTCAGTCTTTATCCATCCTTTTCTTCTCCAGCTCAGAGGGGTTTTGCTACAAGACTGTCAAATAGGCCTCTCCAGAGGGTAATATAAGATTCTAGCACATCTTGTTGCTTTCCTACAGAGTCAGAGCAGATCCTGACAGTGCTTACAACTGAAGACTCCCCTCCGTATCCCTGGAGGCAGATGGTTCCCCTTTTTCTGTAGACAAGGATGTGACTTCCCAAGGGTTCCACAGCTGTCCGGATTCCAGCCCTCAAACCACAGTCTCTCACTGATCCCTCCTGTGATGTTTCAGCATTATCACAGGAAGTAGTAAATTCACAACACTAGAGTGATAATAGGCAGTAATTTGGTGTGACTTAGTGACTGTAGCTTTGAACTAAGGCCAAGATTATCTCCCAGTAATAATTTAAGCAATGGAATAAGTTCCAGGTCCCTTTTGTTTGGCTTTTGTTGTCCGCATTTGGAAAATTGTAGTTGTTTCTAACTATTCTGACTCAGTTCCTCATCATGAAAACGGTAGTGGGAAAGAAGTATATTGTGCTTTAGGTCCTCTAGACCCTTCTAAGCTTCTAATTTTACTTCTGATTCAGTTTCTGACTGTACATTAGACCCAGCTAATAGAGGAAAAACTGGGCACAGTCATTTAGAATCCCCAAATTAGATTCTTTCTTCTATACTGTTGGAATAAGAAAGAGCCCCCATTATAGCACATCTTAGGTAGAATAGATTCAGTTATTTACAAAGACTATCAGGCAAGAATAGAAAAAAATGGATTCCACCCCTACTATGCTAGGCCGACAGATTCAAGAGTGAGGCCCCAAGCAGGGTGACCATATAATTAATGTAGTGACTAAAAAGATAGGGTTTTATCCAGCAGTCCGAGTTCCTTGGCTTTGTCTGGAGATACAGATCCTAGTACAGTGCTTTATAGCAGGCTTCTTACATAACACTAGTAAGGACCCCAGACTGTCCCTATCTTGTCATCAGACGTTTCTGGGTGTATTGTCTGTGTCCTTCACTGAACCATAAATTATTTGGGCAAGGTGCCAAAATGAGGCGTGTGGACAGTACACAGAAGTGCTTGACCTCACCCTCCCAAGGAGCTTCCTGGTCGAGTTGAGCTATAAGGGCATTTTAAAAAGGCACTTCTGTTGAGAAATGTCCATGTGTGGCCTAGGTGCTACGACCTGTGAGAGAAGTAACTGGCCTGAGTGAGCAGAACCCAAAGGGCTGGTTATTTGGGTCTTTTTCTTTGCTCTTGACAGCATCCAGCTTGAGCTTACACAAGCCCACAGAAGGGGGCAGTTTCCTGAAAAGATGTGAAGGGGAAGGTCATGGAATTGGTGGCCCAGCGGAGACTTGGGAGGGTGGAGCCGGTCCAGCACCAGGGACGCCCGCAGTACGCTGCCTGTCTGGGTCGCTGCCCTTGGTGACTCCTCCCCTGTGGCTTCTCCACTCATTTGCCGGCCGTTCCGCATGTATAGATAGCTCAAGTTTAGGTCTGCCTTTCACGCCTCTCTACTGTCCTGACCCTGTCCCAATAGTGGGCCTGTTTCCAGAGAAGGGCAGATGTTGTGAGTTAGGAAGCCACCCCAGAGATAGCTACTGCCAGAGGGTTTCCCCCGGAAGTGAGTTGATGTGTGTTTTATCAGTCTGCATAAAACCGTGTCGGGATTTTGCAGCATAGGAGCCTTTGTCCTTAAGCTACTCTATCACAGCATCGATGTCACTTACCGGTATGTGAAGTTTCTGGAAAGCCAGTGGACCTTTGCTTGGCCTTCACAGAATTAACATGTACGGTTTTGACTCTGAGGGTAACCCAGAGATCTCTGCCATGAGGTGATTTGTCATTTTGCTGGGGTAATTCGAACACAGAACGAGACACTCAGCTTCTGAAAGAGAGACTGTCTAGTACAACAACTCCACGGCCCCCTCCTCAGAATGTATCCCAGGCTCATAACTGAACATTCTGGCTGCCTGGAAGGACCATTCAGTCACTTGGTTCAGCTCCACCAGCTCCCCATGCCTGCGAGTTCAGTAGCCCTGGGGATAGGAAGAGGAACAAGATGGAGTCTTCATTCTCATGAAAGCTCCTGGAGAATTTCAGGAAGCAGACAGGTTATTACAGTACATGACGACAGCTATAGTGTGTGGGGTTCAGAATACAAAGACTCTGAGAAAAGACCTGGGGGCCCCGGGGAAGGCTTCTTTAAGATCATATTTGACCTGGGTCTTGAAAAGTGAGTATGAGCTTAGCCTGCTGTCAGGAGAGAGGATGCTTCTAGCCAGAAAGAGCAGTGCATGTTATGTTCGAGAAGCAGCAGGCCATTCCGTGTGCCTGGGAAGAGGCTGGGATGTGGGCCAAGGCCTTGAGGTTGGACTCCTGTTTGGAAGGAGACTGGCAGGCAGGACCCACTGGAATTGTACTTTGTCCCATACAGACAATAGAAAGCTGCCAGTTTTTTAAGCAGCATTAGTGATCTCATCAGGCCATTTCTCAGAGAATTTGAAGCTTATAAAATACACCTCCAATCATGATAATTTAAATTATTCAAAAGATGCCTGAGAATAATAAGGGCCTTGTAGATCTCCTCAAATCCTCTTGATCACTTAAGCTACGTTATTAAAACAATTGATTAATGATTACTATTACCCTCACCCCATCATCCTAGCTCAAAGTGTGCAAAGTCATTTCTGACTCCTCTTTTATACCCAAGCTTAGTGCTTAATGCTACTTAACTTCCTTAATGCTGCTTGATAATGGGTCACTTCTGGCATTCCTGCTGCTACCGTGACCAGAGACTGTCAGTTCCTGCCATAGTACCCTCCCATCATCCTTCCCAAGGCTGCTTCCAAGCTGCTCTCCACCCGGCTGCCAGAATGTCTTTGTAGACCACACATCAGATTGTGTCACCTACCTTCAAATCTTGTAAGATAGAAGCCAGATTCCTTAGCATGGTCTACTTTTCTCTTCAGGCCCTGACTCCTGACTACTCGGGCCTGACCACTTCTCTCGTCTCTGGCCCTTCATGTTCCAGCCACGTGGAACTACGAGTTTCCATTATGGGTCGAGCCAGTCTGTGTTAGGGTTCTCCGGAGAAACAGAACCGAAAGGATGTGTAGATACATATAGAAAGAGATGAATCGTGAGGGATTAGTTCACATGATTTTGAAGACTAAGAAGGCCCAGCCTCAGCCATCTGCCAGCCAGAGACCCAGGAGAGCTGTTGATATGGTTCAGTCTGAGTGTGGAAGCCTGAGGGTCAGGAGAGCTAATGCTTTCGATCCCAGACTGAGTTCGGAAGACCTGTGTCCCAGCCAACAGAGCAAATTCGCCCTTCCGTGACCTTTTTGTTTACTCGGGCACTCAACACATTGGACGATGCCCCTTCACACCGCGGGGTGGGGGGGCAGTCTTCTTTATTCAGTCCACCGATTCAGATGTTAATCTCATCTAGAAACACCCGCAGAGACACCCAGAGTGATGTTTAACTGGTCGTCTGGTATCCAGTGGCCCAGTCAAGTAGACACCTGATAACCACCATGTCCTCATTCACCAGCCTTAATCTGTGTCAGGAACAGCACCCCTACACCCCCCAGACCCCCTGCCTCTGCAATCTCCACCCCAGTTGCCCCCACCCCACAACTCTCTAGAACCTTGGCTCATACTTGAGTGTCTCCTGGACTAGAC